CGACAGGGCAACAAGGAATTGGTGGACTTTGTCCAAGAGATGCGCACTCTCGTTGCCGGGATGGCAGCAGGTCCCCTTCCGGAGGCGGTCACAGTGACCGTCTGTATGGAAGACCCCCGCTCTGGCGTGGCCAGAATGGAAGTCTTCCGTGTGCATTCGTCTTTGTTTGAAGAGGCGGTGAATGTGGCATTGAATGCCGAATTCAGTTTCAAGTCGACACGATTTGGTGGAATGCATACTCCAACAGCTCGTCGAGCAGGCCTGTGCCCATGGATCTCAGCTATGCTGAGGACGAGGGAGCAGAGCTCCGAGCTACCGGGCCGCACACAAACACACGACGGTGTTTTGAATGTGGAGACACCCGTCATCTTCGGAACGGTTGCTCCCTGCGCAAGGCGCGTCAAGGTTCTTCAAACCATCGCCCCAATTCCTACCTGTGTGGTTCGTCGCGGGGAAATGACACAACCCAGTAGGCGCGGGTCGAACAACTGGTAAAGAACTGAGTTCCGTTCAGCCTCATGGCGGCATAGATCAACAGGGCTCAGCCCCGAAGAGCTCCGTGCTCTTGAACACGGAACTTGTATGAAAGCCGGGTTTGCTGGTCGTAGAGGTGACTGTCAAGGGCTTCGGTAAGCCATGGAAGATCCGCATCGATTCCGGGGCGTCGGGCAATTATGCCCGACGCTCCACGACGGAAGGAAGTCAGCTGTATGCTGAGGCGCTGAAAGCGACATCGTCATTGTTCGCCTAGTGTCGGGGACGCGTGTCACGGCCCCGAAGGTCCCTGTGGACCTCGGATTCAAGTTCCTTGATAATGATAGCGTGGAACGCTATCTAGACTTAGACTTGGATGCAAGGTATGATCTCATCCTAGGAATAGCATGGTTGGAATATCATGAGCCATGGATTGATTGGAGGTCAAAGACCTTGAGCGCTACGCGCACGTCTCCTGGTGGAGGTTTGGCGAGTCATCAATCCACCTCTGCTAGGAGACAAAAGCGCTATTGGCGAGAGCACTGGGCAGAGACGGTCCCCGTGCTGGACATTGGAATGTCCGAGGTGGTAGACACCATCGGTGTATCGGACAGGAGCCCCGAGCGTGGCTCGCGGGCTGATCGTTGCGTGGCACGTAAACCACTGAACGCTGATCAAATTTTGGAGCAGTCACTGCATGTCATGCGTGATATGGTCGGCCAACGGCCGAGGCAACGAGGACGAGGCCCCCAGGATGCACGTGAAGTGGCACGTAAACCACTGGTACTGCTCTCGTTGCGAAGCGGTCGCTGTATGTCATTGATGGTGTGGTGATGATGTCGGACAGAGTCTGAGGCATCTTCGACACGGCCCTTCAGATGCGCGTGGAGTGGCACGTTATCCACTGGACGAAGACAGCAGGTTTAGCAGCTCTTCATCGGATGTTGTAGATAGTATTGGAACCCCAAAGGAGCGGACAGTGAGGGTGACACCAGGCGACGCGGAGTGCGTGTTCACCCTGGCCGCACCGAGACATAGAACCTCTGTACAGAGGCGACGGTGACGCCGCATGCTGGCTGCAAGACGTTAGGCGTTGACCCTGACCCAGGGTGTGTCTACCGTAGACGATGGCGCACAGTTATACACCCTCGTCG